GAAGATATCCTTCCCAGACTGTTTCACCATGACACTGACTGTGAAGACATCCTTCCCAGAGTGCTTCACCCTGACACCTACTGCGAGGGCACTGATCCCAGAATGTTTCATGTTGGCACTGACTGTGAGGGCATCTTTCCCAGAATGCCTCACCGTGACACGGACTGTGAGGACACCCTTCCCAGAATGCTTCATCGTGACACCGACTGTGAGGACACCCTTCCCAGAATGCTTCATCGTGACACCGACTGTGAGGATACCCTTCCCAGAATGCCTCACCGTGACACCCATTGCGAGGCCACTGATCCCAGAATTCTTCACCATGACACCGACTGTGAGGACACCCTTCCCAGAATGCTTCACTGTGACACCGACTGTGAGGACACCCTTCCCAGAATGCCTCACCGTGACATCTACTGCGAGGCCACTGATCCCAGAATGCTTCACCGTGACACCGATTGTGAGGACACCCGTCCCAGAATGCTTCACAGTGACACGGACTGCGAGGTTACTCCTCTGAGATTGGTCCAAGGCAATGCTGATGGCAGGGACTAAAACCTGAGGGATATTTTTCTGTATTATTCCATTCCTACCATCAGTATGTGCCCTCGTCCGTCAGCATTTTGGTGATGTATTTGACATAGTGCTTTAGAAATTCCTCTTCACTCATAGCATAACTCTGTGGATGTCAGATCTCCTGCCCATTCTAAGCACTGATTGAAATTCCATTCCGTTGCATTCAGCGAGGTCATATTTTCCAAATTTCCTCCCACTGTGACCCCATTCCAAGATTTGAATGTTGTCCCAGCTCCTCGGTGAGAAATGTAAGACTGGAGTGTGGGGGCCTATTAGGGTAGGAGCATGGCTGTGTTCAATGGCTCGGAGCTACCTGGGGTAATTCTTACTTTGGAACCTCTAACCCTGAAAGGTTGTTGTTTACCGCTCTGTCTGAGATCAATTTCAACATGTCTTTGACACAGTAAAACATCCTAACGCACTGCACAGGGGCAATTCACAAATGAAATCTGACTCAGAGCCACACAAAGAGATATTGGGACACCAAAAGCTTGGCCAAAGAGGCAGGTTTTAAGTATTGACTTAAAGGCAGAGAGCAAGAGAGGTGAAAAAGTTTAGGGAGGGCTAGGTGGGATATGTGACTAATGAGTTCATTAAAGCTGAGACGGCAGTGGGCTGAAGAGACAATTGATTGCGTTTGAAACCATTAAAGGCACAGTGGCTTCTCAGGACCAGTGTTCCTTGCTTTGTACTGATGCTGGGGCAGAGCATTTATAGGGAGCGTTCTCTTTAAACAAGTCTCAACAAGAAACAAGGTCAGCATGAGAGAAAGCGATCTTTTGCAGCGAGTGCTTAGGATGTGGAATACGCTGCCTGAGAATGGGGGTGTAGGTTCAATTGAAGCTTTTTAGAGGGACTCGGATTATTATATGAGAAGGAAGAATGTGCTGGGCTGTGGAGAGGTGAGTGAGGAATGGTACTAGATGAATTGCTCTTTCATAGAACTAGTATCGAAGTGACAGGCCAAATAGCCTCCTGTTTTGTAACCATTCTGTGAAGTTGAACTGTATGCACTTTAGAATGAATGTTTCCTCACTGAAATGAAAGGATGGAACAAATTACTGTTCAGAGTGGAGATGCTGTCAAGGCCTTTGACAGGAAATGTCATGGTTTTCACAGAAGTTGATGCATGATGGGACGGGAAACTCCCTGACTCTGAGATTTCCTTTTGTTCATAAAAGCAAATCAGAGCTTGACCTTCCTTTTCTCCTTTCCTTTTTCTCTGTTCCAGTTTGCATGTATAGAGAGCCATCGCTGCATGAAATCGGGGACAAAGCTGGACGCTCACGGAAGAGTTCAGGAACGCCAACCATGAATGGAGGCAAGGTAGTCAACCAGGAAGAGTCCACATAGCAGGAACAAGGCTCCAGGAAGCTGAATCGGATCCATATGCACAACTTACAAGAATTAAACGAAAAAGAATTTAATTAGAAAGAACAAAAAATCCACATGTGAGGATTTTTTGAACATGCAATCCTATAGATGAATTGATGAAGCCATTGCCTGAAAGAACAAAGAAACATTAAATCAGGACTTGATTTTCATTCTGTTTCCTCTTATGCAAAACTCTCAACTCTGTGGTAAACTCATCTACAAAACATTAAATAAAGGAAAAACAAAAGAAATTTAAATTACCCTACACGTTTGAGATTTGAAACAAATATCCCTCAAAATCCAAGGCTTTTCTTGCTTCTCAACTGTTGAAAACCTTAAAACTGAAGAGAGGACTTTGTTTAGCAATCACCAAGTATCATGTGAGGAGTGAGCCCATCACAGTTCATTCAGACAGCAGATACAGGATTCTGTGTTCTGATGGTGTTAGCCACACCTTAACTGGGCCCCAACCAACTCTTGTCAGGATCCAGAACTCGCCATGCCATCTTAGTGACGTGCCTGTACTAGAGAAGGAAAGGACACCTGGTCAAACATAAGGATGATGTCCAACTCTTATTGGGTATGACTGCTGCCACATCTTTTGGCTGGGTGGACAGTTGGCCTCTGGGAAGTAAACTGCATTTCATTCAACTTCCTCTACCCTCAATCCCATCCCCACCGTGGAAGTCCACACCCATTTCCAAGCCCTTCTGAAAGTAGGCTAGCCTCATCCTTTGAGGGTAGAACATGGTAGGAACCCAATCTGTGTACGCTGGGCCCATTTGTGTTGAATGATCTTAATCTGCAGAATTCTGGTCACCACCTTTCAAGACTTTCCTAACAGCATTGTGGGTGTACCTGTATCCCACAGCCTGCGGAGGTTCAAGAACACAGCTCACCGCTGCGTTATCAGGGGCAATTAAGGATGAGCAATAAATACTGGCCCTTGCCAGCAACACCCACATCCCATGAAATAATTTTTAAAAACCCACAGTGAAATCATGTTGAATTTTTACCTATACACCCTTGAACAGATTGCAGCTCACTAGTTCGATGGTTTGTGTTTTGTGACTATTTTGTTCTGCCATATTCGGGATTGCTGATGTTCCCAAAACATTTGAGTTGCGCTGAATGTCTGGATGGACTTGGATTGCTAAGACAAGTCTCAAGCCCCGTTACGCATTTTCACTCTATTGGCTGCATGTGTGGTATCATATTTCTGCTGCTGCAAGATTCCACATCAACACTGCAGCTTCAACATGCATTTTCACCCATCAACTAGACTTAATGCTCTAATTAACTGGAGGCTTGGTTGGCGTAAGGAGTGCAGGATCAGCAGTGACAACTGGTGCACACCAACAGCCATTACAAATAAGGCAAAAATATGCAATTAATATGAATAGGTTGTCCACAGAACCATGTTTTTGGCTGGCTCCTTCAGAAGCCCATAACTTGATAGATATATATTTTACACCAACAATAATGCCTTGCATTTATATAACCCCTTTTAAAAGGCCCTCTTGGGTCTAATCAGCAAGTCAAAAAAAAAGGTTGGTGTTAGGTCAGGAGACTAAAATCTTGTTGAAAATGGAAAGGTTTAAAGGGAAAAGAGAGGCAGCGAGACAAAGAGGTTTAATAAATGAATTCCAGTGGTCGAAGCTTTGGTAACTTTCACCAGTCAGAGAATAATTAACATTGAGGGATGAATGAGGGACCTGAATTGGAGCAGCATACATACATCTGTGGTGGAGTGGTTGGAGGTTGCTTTGTTGGGCAGACAGGAAAGAATGAAGTTATGGGGGGATTTTGTAAACAAGCATCAGCCCCTAATACAGAATGAGTTGCTGCTTGACTGAAAGACAATGTAGATTAGTAAGCAGAGATACAATAGATGCAAGGCTTAGTGGAAGTTAGGACATTGCAACAAGATTTTTTTAATGTTCTCAAGTTTACAGAGGGTACAACTTTTAGGATGCCAGTGAAAAGCTCCTTGGAATCGCCAAGACTATTGGTAATTAAGTTATGGATGAGGGTTGATGAAAAAGACAGAAGCACTGTCAGGGTGATGTTGTGGAGGTGGAAATTGTTTTAGTGATAGATCAGATATGTAGTTGGTAGTTCATTTCAGGGTCAGTAGCAGCATCAAGTTTGAGCACACTCTAGGTTAGCTCAAGACAGTTGCCGGGGAGAGGGATGGAGCTGATGACTTGAGAATAGAATTTGTGGTGAAGATCAAAGAGGATGGCTTTATCCTCCAAGTTTTTAGTTAGATCATTATTTTTACTCATTTGTCACTGGATGTTAGACAAGCAACATGACTAACCAGAGGCAATGGTGAGGTTGTAAGAGGAAGAGCTAAATGTTATCTGAATGTATGTGTAATCTGACGCAGTGCTTTAGTAGGATATTGCCCAGGGGCAGCATATATATGCAGGAAAAGCTATGGCCAAATTACTCACAGCAAGATCCAACAAGCAGCAATGTGATATACGACCCAATAATCTGTTTCAGTGATGTTGCTCTGGATTGACTTAAAAGTTATGAAAGATGCTAGAAATGCAGCCTTCCTTCTTGTATATGTCCAGGGCCCAGGGCTTCATTGTAATGTCAGGAACCAAGGAGAAAATGAGTGCACTATTTAACTCCTCAGTATCTCTGAACCTTTATCCACGACTGTAACCACTAATAAATATGTGGTGCGAAGCTTATGATACCACTCTGCAAATGTTAATTAAATCCTTGAACTGTGGTTTCCCTGATGGGATTCAGAAGATGCCTGCACTATTAATGCAGCATTGTGTACCGGATAACGTAATGCAAGCTGTGCATTTCCTGCCATAAACTGCTGGCATCTTGCTAATCTTGCAGTGCCGGTTTTACAATTACAGACTGTGAGTGCCTCCTGAACAAGTACCCTATATGTTGTGTGATCAACTGCCATTGAAAGGCAGCTAACCACACCATCTGTAAAACAGAAATGCTGGGAGATGGGCCGAAATCAAACTCAGGACTTGTGATTGTTCATGTTTAGAGTAGCAGATATCCAAGATGAGTTACAGGTTGGAATCTAATCAAGGGGTGCGGATGGTTTATATTATAGAATAATATAATTGAGTCAACATGCTAATTTGAGGGGTTTGAGTGGTTTTATGTTATATAACTGGTAGCCAGGAATGAGCTACAGTTTTGAACATAATTGAGAGGTTTAGGTAACTTATAAATAGAATAATAGGTGTCTGGCTGTGAATTGCAAGCAGGAATTGAGTTGAATAGTTCAGATAGTTTATACAATAGGACATATTCTGGAATAAGTTAATTGCTGGAAACTAATTTAAGGTCTCAGACAGTTTTATATATAATAGAGATATCCAGAAGTCATTTGCTCACTGGAAACTAATTGTGGGGTTGAGTTTTTTTTTGTATAGAACAATGGAGATTGTGAACTGTAGTTAACAGGCTATTTCAAAGACAAACTATCAGATCCCTGATTTAGATAAAAGCTGCAAACACTTGCCATGTCTCTTTCACTTTGATGCTTAAATAGTTGGTTTGGGGAGCAGAATGTTTGAATAACTGAATGGTTTTGCATGGCAGTTGAAATATTTCCAGTATCTTATTCTTTATTAACTACAAAAAGACACAATAAATGTTCTTTTAATAAATGCAGAGAAGTGTGCAGAATTATTTCAGTTGCTTTTAATCAGCTGAATACAAAATTCTTCCAGTGCTGTCTTGTTTGCTAGATGTGGTATATTTTTATGAGAATTGATCTGGCACTTGTCAAGTGGCAATGTTGTTTTTTTAGTGTCAGTATCAGAAATCTAAAAGCTCCAGGACTCTGACATTTTACTGAATGAACTTTCGAGGAAGTTTTGTCCCCAGGACTGTTAGCTGGCACAGGATGTCTAACACCCTGACAGCTTAAACCACTGAACGCCAAGGAGGCACAATGATAATATTAGAGTTGGACCATTCATTGGAACAAAATCAGGAAGTGCTTGTTCACACAAAGCATTGTGGAAATGTGAAATCTGGAATACTCTTCCTCTAAAAGACTAGGAGTCAGTTTGAGCTTTCAGGACAGAGATGGGTAGATTTGTTGGTAGGGGTTTTAAGGGATGTGGTACAAAGACTGGTAAATGGTGCTGATTGGCTGTGGTTTAATTGACTGTGAAGAGGTCTTCTTGAGTTTGTATGAGAAACTAAGCAGTCTTTTCCCTGTTTTCTTTTTTCTAATTGGTCCTTACACATACAGTGTCTAGCTATGCAGACAAACGCACAATGTGGCATTGGAACCCATTCTTCTAGAATAGGAACCATCCTATCACGTTTACCAAACACCCAGCAGAATGACAGCTGAAAACCCAGTTTAATATCACACTTGAGAAACAATGGTGTTAACTTTCTGTGATTGAGTTAGGACTGGCATGAGGTGATGGAACCCCAGCATGATGGTCTCTGCCTGCGTTGTCACAATTCTGTGATTGTGTGAAATGAGTGAGTCAGCCGCCTCTTCTACATTTTACCCTAATTTTTATTTTCAGACATGAAGAATTTGATTGCTGACTCATTAACTATTGTCCTTCACTGCACAAAGTCAATGCCCCAGCTTGTCTAATAACCCTCCTCCTCCTTGGTATCAACTTTACATGAGGAAGTTGAATCCACATCCCACTGACTGAGGTCCCAGACTGGCTGTATTTACCTGGTCAGATTTTCACTCCATAGCACCCACCACTTTACTGCCTGTACAGTTTGTTTTAACAAAGTGACCCATGAGCATGATGTGACCTGCTGCTGTTGTGTTTCCACACTGAACCAGAAATCTGAACTGTTTTCCTGAAAATTCCCGGTCTAATTAGGATGACAGGAGTAATTTGCAACCGCTTATTGGAGAAGTATTAATATTCCTTTTGCCCTTTTAATTAGTTATCTAGCTGGGAGAATTAATTGCTATCTCTCTGACTGCATTCATGTCAAGCCTCAGTGTAACAGAGATAAAACAGTCACACTTCACTGGAGCTTGCTCGTCGTTTCTTTTGTGAGGAGGTGTTGGAGTAGTCACAATGACACTGGATTAATATTCCGGAAATGCCAGGCTAGTGTTCTGGAGCCAGGGGCTTGAATCCCATCATGGCCGATGACAACATTTTAACTTAATAGAGAAATC